AAAGTATTAGTGAAAATTCTGCTGCAAGAAAAAATTTGTTTGCTGTATAAGTGAGAGAATTAAGGAGGAATAATGCAGATCCAGGCTAGTTTTAAAACAAATCACTCAAAATGCCTCTGATCTTTTGAAATTGCATGTATTGTTTTCCATTTTCTTTGATACCTACCTTAACCTTAGCCTTGTTATAACCTGAAAAAGTCCTCTAGATGTGTGATTAATTGTACTAAGCAGAGGAGATGGAGAAATTGGGCAAGCATATGGTAGAATGCAGTGAAATTGATGATTTAGAGTGAAAACAGCACCTAAACACTGTTGAATGATGAGAGAAACACTTCCAAGTGAGCTGTGATCATGTTGATTAATTGTACTCACATGAATTTTGATGAAATATATGAACTTAGGTAGCAATTTTTACTCAATGATGATTATGCAGTAGAAATATCATGATGAGTATTTGGATGAACAACTTGATTGAAAATTTTGCAGAAAACACAGAATTAGAAATTAGAAAAATCTGAAATAAGCAGTTTATGAACTGAATTTGAAAATGGAGGAACTTACCCTTGGTTTAGTTTGATTTGCTTGAGGACAAACAAAAATTCAAGTTTGGGGTGGTGATGAATCCATATTTTTACTGATATTTTAGCATAATTCTAGTTCATTTAGTAAGGAAAATATATGAAGAAAGCAGAAAAACTCAGAAAAAGAGAATGATTGAAAGTTTTATTTCAATTTGTAGTTATTTTCGCATTTGTAGAATTTATGCTTAGTTCTTAAGGAATTTATCTTGTTTTGAAGGAATAAGCTGAGCAAAAGTCATGGAAATGGAGAATCAATGGGAAGGAAGAGGAAGAATGGCAATGCTGGACTCCAAAATACAAGAATTATGGGTTGCAGCCTGGGCTTGATCACTATTGTTAGTGAAAGTGATCATTCCAGAGCCTAAAGGAGAAGAAGAGCCTTGCGTAATCACTTTTATTTACAAGAGTGAGCGTTGCCAGTGTGCGTTATCACTTTCGCCAGCGAAAGTGAACGTTCCAGAGAAGACTTTATTCTTGAGGAGCTGCGCGTTGTCACTTTCGCCAGCGAAAGTGAGCGTTCCAGAGGCACTTGTATCAGGACAGCTTGCGTGTAACATCCCAAATTTTGGTCTACATGCCAGAGAGTGTTAATTATTAATTAGTGACTCTTTTGTTTGATTTTTAGTACTCTAGTTCAGTTCTTGCTACAACTGTTTAATCGTATTATGTTCCCTGCTTGCACAATTATTTATCCCAGGGTGTGTTTAGTTAATTTCGTATGTGTATGTCTATATGATTATGTGATGAAATTACCTTGACTTAACCCAAGGTTAGTGAGATTAGCCTGGGGGCGAGATAGTCTTTTGAGTTAGATGAATGGACCCTATTTCTTTCATTCCCCTGATGATTGTTATTAATGTTACATAGTTCTTTTAATTCTTATTATTTGATTGTGTGATGTGCTTCTTAAATTTAAGTGGAACTGCACGTGTAACTTTCTTTATTTATATTGAATGTTCATTAGGTTCTAATAGTGGATGTACTTAAGTCTTCCAGTATTCTGGTACCATGCACACTAAGTTAGACCATTAATGAGAGCCACCATCTATTTTTTTTACCCTAGAAGTCACGTGTACTACAAAGGACCCAAGAGGCAAGTTTTAATCTTTCCTCATTTAGTGCTAGTGACCGAAAATTCATTCATGTCCAGGGGGGGAGGGAATCAAATTTAATAGCCTAGGATTCTAGCCCAAATTAAGTATACTTAATGTAATTCCATTGTTCCAGGTTACTCTAAATAAATACAGTCGCCACCTCTTGGACTGCCATATTTTGAGTGGATCTTATTTAAAAACTTTCCTTTTTTTTTATATATGGTGCAACCGAAAATTTAAAGCCCCAATCCTCTTCTAGAAGGAAACTTTCCATATTTTCGGCACTTACACATAATTGCCACCCTATTCATTAATGCGCCTCATGATTTTATTTAATACCCCTCTTTTAAATAAGGTAATCAGATTTTCGTTATTTGTTTATGTAGGAAAGAGAAAGACACTGGCCATAATGACCTAGATTCTGAACCTAAATAATTGCACTTAATACAATTATCAATTCCCTAGTTACTCTAATTAGGTGTAGACGAGAATAGAGTTTTATTCCTTTCCTTAATTATAAACTTTCCATATTCTCGTGCACATTTAATTAAGGTAGGTTATTAATCATAAATTAATGAGAATCTTGTAGTTAATTAGAGAAGATACCCTTGCCTTTTCATTTACTCAAAGAAACCCCCTATTTCCTCATTTAACCGCCATTAAACTCCCTTAATTACCCACCTACATTAAATACCATAGGGGAGTGAAAAGGCGCCTGCTTGATTCCCTCCACATTAATCCAATCAGTTACATGCATTTAGTGGGCGTGCCAATCAGCTTGAAACGTTTCACCTGAGGCAATTAATTCCCCAGAACCGTGCCTGACATCAACTATGTATATTCCTTCCTTAATTACCTTGTATTTATGGTAAAACCCTAGGGAGATTTGTGTGAATGCATGGCCAAAAGTGGCGCCACCTTCCATCAGAAAATTTAAGTAGCCACCCTGCATTAATTGCATGGCATTACCGAAAACAATCAATCATTCACATTATTTTGTTCCTAATAACCATGTTTTAAATTGCTTAAAACCGAGGGGCCTCTCTTGCCTCATTTAAACCATCATTAAAGTTACCTGATTTACCTCTTAACCGCATTTAACCTCATGAGAAAAACAAAGGAAAAACCTACTCAACTTCCTTCTGGAGTTGGCCTAGCCGCCAGCCTGCACTTAATGTACAGCCAAAAACTTAGCAACATATTTCTGGAAATTATGCTCCATTAATTTCATGCAATTATTTCCTATTTTATGGCACTGGCCACACGTCCAAGGCAGAGAGAAAGGCACCACCTTTTCACTAACCAATCAAAATAACATCACTCTTTTCAAATTGTGGGACACGAAGGGTTTGAACCTGCTTCCCTCCACAACAAACCCTAGCCGCCAACGTGCATTAATTACCCACTCTTACCTAGGTCAAACCCCTATTTCGGTTACTCCATCATGATGAATGGCGTGTGGAGATGTGTGGATCACCTACGGCTTGCTTCTTTTACACTCTATGCATTGAATGCTCTTGAGAAGGCGCATCACCTGCACTTGGACACCATGAGACGTGACTATTCAAGTAAGAAGGCGAAAGGGTGTGTCACTTCGCCTAACCTAACCCTAAAACCCTTCTTGTGCACTCACCGCCAGCCTTTGGAAGACGAATGGGCAAAGCTTTAAGCCACACTATATAAGAACACCTTCTAATCCTCACGCACCCTTTTTCCCTTATTTTCCAAAAACACTCTCAACCTCACCACTTCTTTTCTCTCTCGACACATTCTCACCCTCTCACAAAACCTCTACTCACCTTTTTCTCTGGTGGACAACACACTCCATCACCAACCTCAAGGAGGCGACAAAACACTAAGGACTCAAGTTGTGATCAAGATCCTGCTAGTACCAAGACCAAGCCTTCCATTCTATCTCTCTTTCTCATACCAAACAAGGTTAGGGGAGCTCTTGTTTGAGCTTGAATGCATGTGGTTGTTCGTTAACTTGTAAACTCTGCATGCACTCTTCTTCTTGTTTTCGTCTCCGATCTTCATCAATAAAATATACATGCAAACCATTTTCTTCATCTCGTGGTGATTCTATTTGGATGGTGTTTTAAAAATCCATGTTTTGTAACTTACGTGAACTTGATTTAGGTTGAAATAGTTTTGCATGTTGATTATATTGAAATCCTTGTATGAGTCTCAGTTGTTTACCTTTATTAATGAATAAAGTTGGTAACTTTTATGAATATCCGATTGCATGTTAAAGTAACTATATGAATCCTTGTGTTCTTTTCGGTTTTCATTGACTACCCTTCTTCCTTTTTGTTTTAGCTGAGAAATTACTCAACTTTTTCTCTCGGTTTGATTCTGTATGACCAAGGAACCCTTTTTCTTAACCATGAAAGAATTCTCCTACCACCTAATCACTATTTTACGAAAAATTTCTGGTAGAAACAAGTTGCATGTGTGATTAAACTTGCGGTTATTTCCATGATTCTTTGATGATTGTTTTGTTTGTGAAGGTACATTTTGACTATGATATTGCAACGAAATTTTTATAACTATCTCCATCTTCTCTCCTTTTTCTTTTATTCTTGGACCGTGGACGGATGGTTCTTTTATTCTTTGAACGTACCAGCTCTTATGAGCAGGGATTTGGATATGTGGTTTGTGACCTTTGGGAATTTAATGTGCGTTCAAAAATGGTGTAAGGAGGATGCGGTTACGAAACTCTTTATGTGTATGATATGGAGGATGGAGAGTCAAGGTCACAGTCTAGCACAGCTGAGGGATGTGAGTGTTCAGGTTTGAAGGAAGAACCTTGGGGGTAGTGGAGGGGGGTTGCCCCAATGGTGCGGAATAGTTCACCGCGGCCGGGACACGTCGCCATTGAAACCTCCACTAATCCTGACACGAGCAAGCATTACCGAGGATCGTGGAAGGACTCGTTCCTGAGGAACCGAAATGGTTAAGTTGGGAGAATATTCTTGATGGATTACATACAATGTGTGCTTGTAGGGAACGAGGGTCTCCGATCACCTTGACTGGAGGAATAGTGGGACAAACTAAAGAAGTAGTGACGTTTCAATTACCTTGAGTATAATTATGTTATGAGGAACTCATTCACTTTGTTTGCGTTGTGGCTGTTTGATTAATATTATGTTATGATAATGTGATTATTGAACTATGAGTCACTAGGTTCGTTACTATTATGCTGATTTTCTTACGTATTCGATTTTTGATAATTGAATGTATTGAGCTCACCCTTTCTGTTCTGTTTTTGTCTGGTGTTGCATCTTGTCTTGCTGTTGTTGTGTGTTGCATGAATGCATGGCAGATGGACCCACTCCGAGCGAGGATTTGGGGAGAGGATTCGAGAGGAAAGGAGGGATGGATCTACGACCCAGCAACGCGCCGCTTGACGTACCAGGGAATGGTCTTCATGACCATGGGACCTCTCACTGAAGGCGAATGGAAGCCCAACTGGATGGACCACATTTTTGCCGAAATCTCCGTGCCCCTACCACCTGAACGGAGTATCATCATTCATACACCTCCCTTTTCTCCACCGTCTCATGAACCTCCCGCCAAACGCCTTAAGACTTTTGTGGATAAAGGTAAAACTATCATTGACCTTGACCCTGAACCCAGCCCTTGTCCTAGCCCTACTCCTGCGCCCGCACCTGAATGGAAAGTCATTGGAGTGGTTGCGTCTTCCGTCAGGCCAGTCCCTCGTCAACCTCTCGATATTCAGGCGCCACCTTCCGACGAAGCTGGACCTTCCACCCGACACCCTTCTCCACCACTGCCACCCACCTCAAGATCGCCACCGCCTACCATCGGTTGGATTGACAGTGACCCGGACGACTTGCCGCCCTCTCCTCGCCCTCAGCCTGTGGATGTTGCACCTGATTCTGATGGAATGGAATCTGATCCTAGTGAAGATTCCTTTCCACCAGAGTTTTATATGTAGATGTTTTATTTTTTTTTGTCATGGATGAACACTACTCTTAAGTTTTATACTTTCCTTTCTTTTTGGGGCTGTTTATAATTAATTTTGAAATACTGAACCATGAGGTCTTCTCTTTTGTTCGTTTCATGATGGTTTACCTTGAATTGTTTAAACTAGGGACGTATATGTACAAAATTGAAATTTTCTCTCTATTTATATGTCTCTCGTTATGATTTCAGAATTCCATTCCACGAAGCATGTGATGTTGAGCACTCACCTTTATCTCTTTCATAAAAAGAAATTAATTTGAAGAAATTTCAAGTACACTAGTAAAACATAATACAATATGCATAGTTTGCTAACGAATAGATTGGATAACGAAATGGAGGATAATGTACCCTCACCTATGAAGTAAATTGTGAAATTGTTGTTTAGTTCCACACTAATGTCGAAAGGATAATTCCTTGTTCATGTTCAATTGGGTACACTATCTTAGGGGAGTCTAAATACATACATTTTTAGGAGATAGGATCTTGGTAGTAATTTAGGTGTTACATTGCACGTGGTTACTATTACTCACGAAAGTGATCACGCGCAGCTCTTGACCTCCTGCGTTGCCACTATTCTGAATAAAAGTGAATGTTCCAGAGAAGCCTTCAACTCTGCAAGTTGCGCGTGGTTACTCTTGCTCTTGAAAGTGAACACGCGCACTACATAAAGCTTCTGCGTGGTTACTCTTGTGAAGAAAAGTGACAACGCGCAGAACTGGGTTTCTATAAATACATGATTGAAGCGCGAAACTGGGGGGTTTTTGCTCATTTTCTGTTTTGTTAGTTAGAGTCTCGTTGAGAGAGAGTGGAGAGAAGATTGGGGTCGAAGCTTGAAGCTCCAAGAAGAGGGATCGGATTGGAGCTCGTGGCCATGGCTGCTTTGCATTCTTCTTCATCTTCTTCTTCTTCTTTCTCTGTTTTTGTTGCAATGTGTGCTTAATTTCCAATAATTAGGGGTTTATGGAACTCGAATTGATGTATTGATTCGACTTTATCTTCTGAACTTTAAGTTCTTGGATTAATTGAGTTGTTAATTCTGCTTTTCATGCAATCTCTGAATGGAAATTCATTTGATTAATCAAGAGGAATCTTTACCAATGGGAATTGGATTGTTTGCTCCGATCTGAATTGGCAACCAGAGTTTAGGGATTTCTTAGGGATAATGAGACCTAATTCTGCAATCTTATAGTTCTAATTCTTAATGCAACCTGAAATTGAATCTCACCTAAGGGATTAGGGAGGTTTAGTGGATTGTTAGGGTTAATGAGTTAAGGAATTAACCTTTGGCTAGATATATGTGAAACTGATTGTCAATTATTCAATTGCTTGAATGTTCAGAGGATTTAATTGGATTGATATTGATATTCTTGTGAAGTAAATTCCTAACTATCCTTCATTGCTATTTCATTTCATCACAAATCTTATACTCTGTTTCTCTGCAAGTTCTTTGCTTTAATTGCTTTGGTTTATTGCTGTTATATGTTACAAATCTCCTTCAAAAATTCGTATGGCTCAAATGGTTATAATTCTGTGAAGTGGTACTTGAAACCTAAATTCCCTGTGGAGACGATATTCTGATCTTAAATTTACTCATCACTTGCTGCAATCCTAGTGCACTTGCTAGTGTTAGATTGCAAACAACAACAACCACACACAATCTAGCACAAGCATGAACTCCCCTAACCTTGTTCGGTTTGAGAATGAGAGAAGAGTGGAAGGCTAGGTCTTGGCGCTTGCAGGAACTCGCTCACGGCTTGAGTCTTTGGCGGCGGCACAACCGTTTGGAAGAGGGGTGCAGGCGGTGTTGAAAACTCCTTGGTGTTCATTGTCTCCTTGAGAGGGTGGTGATAGAGAGTGTTGCTCATGAGAGAAAGAGAGTAGAAGGTTTAGTGTGAATGTGAAAGGATGTCGAGAGAGAGAGAAGTAGTGATGAGGTTGAGAGTGTTTTGGAATGAAAAAAGGGGAAAGGGCGCGTGAGAACAAAGAAGACCTTTATATAGTGTGAGTATAGAGCCTCTGTCCATTCATCTCTAGACGGTTGGTGGTCAAGAGCTGCACAAGGAAGGTTTAGGGTTAGGTTAAGTGAAGTGACATGACCTTCTGCCTTCCCCTAGAACGGTCACGCCTCCTGGTGCTCTGGTGCAGGTGAAACGTCCCATTAAGAGCATTAAATGCACAGAGTGCAAAAGAAGTAAATAATCAATGCCCCACACATTTCCAACAGTCAATCGTTAGGGAAGAATGCCATGAGTGGTGGGTCGGTTTCGGTAAGGCCATGCAATTAAGGCAGGGTGGCTATTTGAATTTTCTGATGGAGGGAATAGGCTCTAGACTTTTCACATTCCAAACATATGAAGGGTTGTGGCCTTTAGTCTACTTGTGGGAAATGTGGCACCTCTTTTTGGGCCATGTGCGCACACAAATCTCCATAAGGTTTTGCCATAAATGCGATGCAATTAAGAAGGAATATCTGATTAATGTCAAGCACGGTTTTGGAGAAGTAATTACTCTAGGTGTAACGTTCCAGGTTGATTGGCACGCCCCAATAAATGCAGGCCGCAGTTTTGGGCAGCTATGGAGGGAATAAGGCATGCATCTCTTCTCTTCCCCATGGTGTTTAATGTAGGTGGGGGCAATTAAGTGTGTCTAGTGGCGCTTAAGTGGGAAAATGGAAGGAAGGTTTCTCGGGTAAGTGAAAAAGGCATGGGGCACCTTCAATAAACGTTCACAAGATTCATGCTAATTTATGATAAAGTGGTCAGCCCTAATTAAATATGTATGAGAACCCAAAAAGTCAGCAGTTAAGGGAGAGAATAAGGACTCTATCTCGGCTGCACTATTAATGAGGGATTTTCAAATGATTGCCAATTAAAGTGTGATGGTTATGATGGGGCAGCTGCACTTAATTACGGTAATTAGGGAATCTCCCCATGATTGGCCACGGTTACAACGAGTCATTAAGGAAAACGGCTGGCTTCATCATGGTCACCTAGGGATATGAAGAGTGAGCACTTAAAAGGGTAAAAATGCTTTAAATCCTGATTATGGCTATTTTCTCTCTCTCTGCCCATTAATGAGTTCTTCGGTTAGGGTCTAGGCCATTAACTCGATTCTCTCCCCCCTCTCCCAAGCATGCATGCATTATGCTTGGTCAAGAAAAAGGTGCAATTAATGAGGGCGACTAGCATTAAATACCCACTGAGGTTCTATGTCTTCCACTTTCTCTCTCTTGCTAACTCGAGTGTCTTTTTATATTCCCAAGGCCATCACACATTTGTCTCTCCCCTCCAGAGTAATGGCATGGAGATGAAAGGGTGTCATTAAAATGACATTAAATGAGGATAATGGTGCTTAGTGGGGATTCTATTCATGAGTTTCTCACTCCTCTCTCTTCATAACTCGAGTTAGTAGGTCATTAAACATCCTTAATACCTAGTGTTAAGGTGTCTCAAGCCACATTAATTAAGGAATAAATGTGTTCTAATGGCAATGCTAGTGGAATATTTAGAGGCAAAGAATCTCAAGAGTCTTCAAGGAAGATAAAAAGGCACACGTGCATAGCACCCACAAAAGACATAAATGCAATTAATGAAGTCTATATTAATGAGACAACAATGTATTTATGACGCACCAAGTCCAATCTTCTCTCTCCATGCTAATGTCTTTTCATTTTCCAAATTCACTACACTTAATGTTTGCACAGCCAACTAGATATAACGTTTGAAATTTTGCAATAGAAGGAGTAAACCTAGGTCATCTCACAAGGACATAAGATACATTCTGTTTCTGGTTCCATCATGTAATTTCATATTAGCTTCGGGATGGATTGTTTTGAATTAAATTGTAAACAATAGAAAAGAAAAGAACAAAGAATAATTCTAACGAAACGAAATATGAAGTTCAACCAAATCAAGATCTCAATCACTACAACGCAATTCTCATTGTTACACGAATACAATTCTAACGAATTTCCAATCAACACTAATTCAATACGACATTAATAACTCGAAATCTAAATCTAGATTATGAATTCCATCAAAACAAGAACTGCAATCGCAAATCCAATGTTCTAACGAAATTCAGAAAAATTGATTTATTGAATTAGGTGAATTCATTTATTTCAAATCTAAAATTCTCATTCTTTGTTTAGAATGCAAACAAAAATTCAATATCATGAAAAACGTAATTATCATAATAAAAAAAAAGGAGGAAGAGCAAGAATTCGATAGAACCTAACCCGAAACTCAAATGCAATGTAGCTCTTGAAACCTTAAATCGATTGATGGATTAGCCTTGCTTAATGATCATGCTTGCTTCGGCCAAAACCAAAAAACTATGAAAAGATGAAAGGTAGAGAGACGAAAATAAAAGAGAGGAGAAGAAAGAATTTAAAATAGAGACTTTTTGAATCCTAAAAAAATTGCAGGAAAAGAAAAACAAGGATTCGTACATGGAGTCTTAACCTCTATTTAAAGACAAAATAATTGGGCTTAATTAAGGCCCAACTAATGAGGTTCCTAAACACCTAACTAAGTAAAAGACAAAATAATTGGGCTTAATTAAGGCCCAACTCCCTAATGAGGCTCCTAAACACCTAACTAAGTAAAATCAACAATACAATAAAATTCTGAAAATTTCAGTGCAGGGCCGCAACATTGTGACGCAATTTTGGACCTGAAGATGCTCGAACTGGGATTTTCTCCCAACAGAGAAGTTGTAGATCTATGTCTTATCTTTCCAGGGACACCAATTTTGTCCAATTCTGAGTAGTGTAGCTCTAGATATGGTCTTTGCAAGAAACTGTGTCAAAATAAGAAATTATGGCAGGAATTAAGAAAGATTTATATTTAAATCCTAAATTACTTACTAACAGAAATCTAAACTAACACATCAAAATAATGCACTAATGAAGCTCAGTTAAACCAAAAATATGGAGAGAAAGATGTGCTAAAATATGACTATCAAATACCC